CCGAACCAACCAAAGCAGCGCCAACCACTACAGCCGAACCAACTACTGTAGCGCCAACCACTACAGCCGAACCAACTACTGTAGCGCCAACCACCACAGCCGAACCAACCAAAGCAGCGCCAACCACTACAGCCGAACCAACTACTGTAGCGCCAACCACCACAGCCGAACCAATTACTGTAGCGCCAACCACCACAGACGAACCAACTACTGTAGCGCCAACCACCACAGACGAACCAACTACTGTAGCGCCATCCACCACAGCCGAACCAACTACTGTAGCGCCATCCACCACAGCCGAACCAACTACTGTAGCACCAACCACTACAGCCGAACAAACTACTGTAGCGCCAACCACCACAGACGAACCAACTACTGTAGCGCCAACCACCACAACCGAACCAACTACTGTAGCGCCAACCACTACAGCCGAACCAACCACAGCAGCGCCAACCACCACAGCCGAACCAACTACTGTAGCACCAACCACTACAGCCGAACAAACTACTGTAGCGCCAACCACCACAGACGAACCAACTACTGTAGCGCCAACCACCACAGCCGAACCAACTACTGTAGCGCCAACCACTACAGCCGAACCAACCACAGCAGCGCCAACCACCACAGCCGAACCAACTACTGTAGCGCCAACCACTACAGCCGAACCAACCACAGCAGCGCCAACCACAACAGTCGAACCAACTACAACCAAAACCACGGCCGCCGTTAAGACTACCACAGACATGTTATCCACATATGACTGCTTATGCTCAGATGAGCAGTCTACAGCTGCACCAGCTACAACAGCTGCACAAACCACCTCAGACATATTGTCCACATACGATTGTTTATGTTTAGACGAGCAGTCCACGGCTGCACCCCCAATCACAGCTGCATCAACAACCACATCTGCGCCAACAACCACAGCTGCACCAATAACTACAGCTGCTCCAGCAACTACAGTTGCACCAACTGCCACAGCTGTACCAACATCTAAAGTTGCAACAACTACTGCTACACCAACTACCACAGCTGCACCCACTACCAGAGCTGCACCAACATCTACAGCTGCACCACCAACAACAGCTGCACCAACAACTACAGCTGCACCAACAACCACAGCTGCACCAACAACCACAGCTGCACCAACAACCACAGCTGCACCAACAACCACAGCTGCACCAACAACCACAGCTGCACCAACAACTACAGCTGCACAAACAACAACAGCTGCACCAACAACTACAGCTGCACCAACAACCACAGCTGCACCAACAACCACAGCTGCACCAACAACCACAGCTGCACCAACAACCACAGCTGCACCAACAACCACAGCTGCACCCACTACCACAGCTGCACCAACATCTACAGCTGCACCACCAACAACAGCTGCACCAACAACTACAGCTGCACCCACTACCAGAGCTGCACCAACATCTACAGCTGCACCAACAACCACAGCTGCACCAACAACCACAGCTGCACCAACAACCACAGCTGCACCAACAACCACAGCTGCATCAACAACCACAGCTGCACCAACAACCACAGCTGCACCAACAACAACAACTGCACCAACAACCACAGCTGCACCTACTACCAGAGCTGCACCAACAACAACAGCTGCACCCACTACCACAGCTGCACCAACTACCACAGCTGCACCCACTACAAGAGCTGCACCAACATCTACAGCTGCACCAACAACCACAGCTGCACCAACAACCACAGCTGCACCCACTACAAGAGCTGCACCAACATCTACAACTGCACCAACAACCACAGCTGCACCAACAACCACAGCTGCACCAACAACCACAGCTGCACCAACAACCACAGCTGCACCCACTACCACAGCTGCACCAACAACCACAGCTGCACCCACTACCACAGCTGCACCAACAACCACAGCTGCACCCACTACCACAGCTGCGCCAACAACCACAGCTGCACCAACAACCACAGCTGCACCCACTACCACAGCTGCACCAACAACCACAGCTGCACCCACTACCAGAGCTGCGCCAACAACCACAGCTGCACCAACAACCACAGCTGCACCAACAACCACAGCTGCACCCACTACCACAGCTGCACCAACAACCACAGCTGCACCAACAACCACAGCTGCACCAACAACCACAGCTGCACCAACAACCACAGCTGCACCAACAACCACAGCTGCACCAACAACCACAGCTGCGCCAACAACCACAGCTGCGCCAACAACCACAGCTGCACCCACTACAACCGCTGCACCTACTACTATACCAACTACTTCTACGACTGTTACAACCACAACCACACCTACCACAACACCTACAACCACCACCACAACGACCACCACAACAACCACACCTACCACAACACCTACAACCACCACCACAACCACCACCACAACAACCACCACGACCACCACGACGACCCAGCCGCCCACGACCACGGCGTGGGTGTGTCCCAGCGGCTGGTCTCTCTACGGCTACTCCTGCTACCACGCGAGCAGCTCCAGCGGGTCCTGGGCGGCGGGGAGGAGCTACTGCAGCGGGCGGGGCGGGTCCTACGTCAAGATCAGTAGCTACAACGAGTGGCTGTTCCTCAGAGGTAATTCTGGGCGGGGGGGGGGGTGCACCGGGGTCCAATATGCACACACATACACGCACGTGTGCACATGCAGTCATACTGGCTTGGGTGTGTCTTGGAGGTCGTGGTGGGGGAGGGTATATGCCACCATCAGTTTTTTCTGAGCATGGCTGAACCTTTAGTATACTCAAGCCTGATAATCCCATTACTCATAAACAATATATATATATATATATATATATATATATATATATATATATATATATATATATATATATACTGTACATATGTATATATATACATATATATGGAAATTAATATATTCATATACTTATATATATACATATATACACACACATATATATATATGTGTGTGTGTGTGTGTGTGTGTGTGTGTGTGTGTGTGTGTGTGTGTGTGTGTGTGTGTGTGTGTGCGCGTGCTTGTGTGTGTGTATGTGTGTGTGTGTGTGTGTGTGTGTGTGTGTGTGTGTGTGTGTGTGTGTGTGCGTGCGTGTGTGTTCACGTGTGTTTGTTAGTATCTGCTAAGACAATGCAATGTTAACAAGGGCACTGAGCGCTAGTGACCGAGCCTCGCCCCACAGGGACCCTCTCGGCCGACACGTGGATCGGCCTCAACGACCGAGCCAGCGAGGGCAGGTACAGGTGGGACGCCGACAACAGCGGGGCTTCGTATACCAAGTAAGTCGCCCGCACTTAGTTTAGGTTAGATTAGGTCATGCCTTATTCGAATGCGCCGCGACTGATGTCATCCCTTGAAGTTGAAACTAAACTCATCAGTCGCTTGGATAAAAACAGCATGCTTCAGAGATACATGGAATGCTGTGCCATACCTAACGGATGAAGAATTAAGAGGCCTTTGATGCCCGCTAGGTGGGCCAGGGGCCAGCCGGACAACGACCGGCCGTGGTACCAGCTGTGGTGGGGCGACGGCGAGGACTGCGTGATGATGCTCAAGTCTTCAGGCTACTACTGGAACGACGCAGATTGTGACAACAACTACCGGTTAGTCATTCTCAAGGAAACATGTTAATAATGTGTATTTATTTCAAGTAACAAAGGCAATTATAGGGATTGTAGTGTTATATTTCCCGCGATAGGTTTTAAAATGGAGGGGGGGGAGATAGCCAAGATACTATTCCCTGAAACGCACTCTAACATTTCCTCAAACGCAACCCCTGATTAATATCCCATTTACAGCAACAACCTCAGCCTCTCTCCCTCCGCAGATTCGCCTGCGAGCGGCCCGCCTCGATCACCAGGGGCTGATGCGTGTCTACGGGCCGACGCTCGCTGACGATTGCCGGAAGCAGTGGGAACCTCCACCGCATCTGAATGTGTTGCAACGAAGAATTATTTTGAAATTACTATATATACTCCTCCACTCGTATATCAGTTTACATTAAAGGAACGGCCACCAACAGTTTTTTTTCTTTCACGTGTTAAAATCGTTCATAATGTAATAACTTATTATTTCTTAAAATACCGTGACCAAGGCACTCAGCGACACAGAATTCAAATGCAAAATATGGCATGTATGATTTATTTTAAAAATTGTGCGATTGAAATTAGACAATGAAACACACACACACATACACACTCAAACCACACACACACATACACACTCAAACCACACACACACATACACAAGCTCACGCGCACGTAAACGCACACACACTCTATCAAACATACACAAACACGCACACGCACACAAACACACCCATGCATTCACACACACACAAACGCTCATTCTAACACACACTCACTTAGACATACACACATACACTCTCTCTCGTGCCCACACAGACGTATGCAAGTTGATTTAAACAAATGTAAGAAAAGGAATGCCAGCCATAAGAAAGAGTGGAATGGCAGGTCATGTCATAAAATCGGACATTCAGCTCAAAGCACCGACTTTCCTCTTTTGTAACAGTCAAAACAGTATTCCGCTTTTAAAATACTCAGAACACCGACATTCTTCTTTTTTGATACTCAAAACACCATTCCATTGTCATGAGGCTTAAAACACCGACATTCCTATTCTTGATACTCAAAACACGACATTCTGCTTTTATTGTACTCAAATCATCATTCCACTTTTAAATACTCAGTACACCGATATTCCGCATTTATAAAACTCAAAACCGACATTCCGCTTTCATAATACCCAAACCACGAATATTCCTCTTTAATAATACTTAGCACACCGACATTGCTCCTTTATGGTACTCAAAACACCGACAATGTTGTGTATTATAACAGTGGAATGTTGGTATTCTTAGTATTATTAAAGAAGCGGGATGTCGATGTACTGAGTATTATGTCGGTGTTTTGAGTATCATAATAGCAGCCTGTGGTGTTTCGTGTATTATGAAAGTGGAATGGCGGTTCCAGTATTATTGAAGCGGGATGTCGGTGTTTTTATGTAGAGCCTGTTACTTCCCTTTGCATGGGAACCACTCAGACTTTGTCCAGAGGGGCACTATCTGTTATCACCAATGTGTGATTTCTCCAAAAGTTATACCTTTAGAGCCCACACTATAAAAGAATAATAGTCACACAGGTTCCTTATGATCTAACTTAGAGGTAACTGAGAAGGCTAATATCAAAACACTTAATGAGCTTACAACATTTGTTGATATATTGAGTCATAAATCATCATATTTGTACAATTAAAAAAAAGAAAGAAAAAAGGTCCAAGTGCGTGTAATCCAACCTGTCACCCTAGAAAAGAAATAAAGTTATAAAATATAATTAAATCATTTCTTGAAAGAACAAAAAACATTTACAAACAAATTATGTATAACTTGTCATTATATACGATCTGATTAGTTATATTCACCTTATAGTAATTTTGAGTAAACATCATTTTAATATCATACTATCAGATATGTTAAGAACACTTATTCTTTGAATAGGTTTTTAAATTCAAGTGCAACGAGTAATTTATTGCACGATCGCCGACGTCGTACGACAATTTCCGGCAAAGAAACATTCGAATTTTCGCGCGAAAGGCAACGTAAACAAAGATGCAGTGTAGCCAATACAACGGAGATGAAATGCGCTAGACTGAGAGAGAGCTAGAGAGAGAGAGAGAGAGAGAGAGAGAGAGCGAGAGAGAGAGAGAGAGAGAGAGAGAGAGAGAGAGAGAGAGAGAGAGAGAGAGGGAGGGAGAGAGAGAGAGAGAGAGAGAGAGAGAGAGAGAGAGAGAGAGAGAGAGAGGAGAGAGAGAGAGAGGAGAGAGAGAGAGAGAGAGAGAGAGAGAGAGAGAGAGAGAGAGAGAGAGAGAGAGAGAGAGAGAGAGAGAGAGAGAGAGAGAGAGAGAGAGAGAGAGAGAGAGAGAGAGAGAGAGAGAGAGAGAGAGAGAGAGAGAGAGAGAGAGAGAGAGAGAGAGAGAGAGAGGAGAGAGAGAGAGAGAGAGAGAGAGAGAGAGAGAGAGAGGAGAGAGAGAGAGAGAGAGAGAGAGAGAGAGAGAGAGAGAGAGAGAGAGAGAGAGAGAGAGAGAGAGAGAGAGAGAGAGAGAGAGAGAGAGAGAGAGAGAGAGAGAGAGAGAGAGAGAGAGAGAGAGAGAGAGAGAGAGAGAGAGAGAGAGAGAGAGAGAGAGAGAGAGAGAGAGAGAGAGAGAGAGAGAGAGAGAGAGAGAGAGAGAGAGAGAGAGAGAGAGAGAGAGAGAGTCTTTCTGTTTTGGCAAGAGAACCCTCAACGTCGCCCTTTCCCTGGTGCCACGTGAAGGGCCGAAGGAGGGGAGAGCAGAGCGGCCCCGCCCTGGAAGCCCGGTGCTCGAACGTAGCGCTTTCCGCTGCGTTGGCGGCGCTGCGAGGCCGCGCGCCTCATTCAACGGCGTCGCCGCTCGACTCCGCCGCCGCCACCGCCTCCGCCGCCGTCGTCTCCTCCGCCGCCGCCGCCGCCTTCGCCGCCAGCATGACCCGCGGGAAACAGCCTCAGTAAGTGCCGGCGCCTGGGCCTCGGGGGCCTCGGGTGCAGTCAGCTGTGGGGAGAGAGCCGCCGAGAAGCTCCTTCGGGTGCCCGGCGGGGGCGGCCAGCGACACCCAGGGGGGGCGAGGAACATGCCCAGGGGCGCCTCGCAGCTCCTTTGGAGCGGTTAGGGTTACGTCGCTGGAATGGCTGCTTGTCAAGTATTGTCAGTTCGTGATTTCCCTCTGCTTCTCTCTCTCGTCTTCTCCCTCTCCCTCATCCTCATCCTCTCCCTCTCCCTCTCCCTCTCCCTCTTCCTTTCCCTCTTCCTCTCCCTCTCCCTCTCCCCTTCTTCCTCTCCCCTTCTTCCTCTCCCCTTCCCTCTCCCCTTCTTCCTCTCCCTCTCCCTCTCCCCTTCCCTCTCCCCTCTCCTCTCCCTCTCCCTCTCCCCTCTCCCCTCTCCCCTCTCCCCCTCTCCCCCTCTCCCTCTCCCCCTCTCCCTCTCCCCCTCTCCCTCTCCCCTCTCCCCTTCTCATCCTCTCTCCCTCTTATCCTCTCTCCACCCTTTCCCCACCTCCATTTCCTCTTGCTTCCCCTTTCCCTCTCCCTCTCCCTCTCCACACCCTATCCCTCTTTCCTCCCTCTCCCTCTCCCTCTCCCTCTCCACGCCCTATCCCTCTTTCCTCCCTCTCCCTCACTTCACAAAATTTAAGCATCAATCCAAGTTGCCGTGATGGGGTGCCTTCAGTCACTGCCTGAGGGGAGGATTGATGGGGCTCTTCCCCCCCAACACCCCCGGGAAACACTGCCTTCACCATGGTATGCACAGCAAGGTAGAGCTGGAACTCGGGAGCTCTGAGTGGACTTTATTTGTGGTGTTGCCGTTCCTGTCTGTAGATTATTTCTTGTACTAATGACTACAATCTTTTGTCCTCTACAAGGATATCATCATCAGTTTTTCCCAGCTTAGTGCATCCCTACTGT